TATCCTTCTCTCACCCCCCCAACTCCGTCCCCAAAAAGAAAGACAACACAATAACCACAAGGCCACAATTCAATGGAAAACTGTCCTTTAATTGCTTCTCCCCGCCCATCTGTACAAGAAACCCACACTGACATTTGTGTAACGGAGCCGGCTTTGGCACGTCCTCAGAGGCCAAGATTTCCTTCCCTGCTTCTCCGGGTCCTCCAAGCTCAGCTGCAACCCTCCCCAGGGGTGGGGTGGGGGGAGAACGACACCTGGATTTGCCGGGCAGCGTGTTCCTGCAAGCGACTCTGGAAGGCACTGTGATATCCTCAGAAAAGGCCTTTGGTCGATTTCAGATCCACTTCGGAGACGGATGTCAGCTGTGATGGCCTTTTAAAAAAAAACTGCCCACCCACCCAGAAAAGCAGCATGGTGGGGGGGGGGGACACCTTCCAGGGGATGCTGAACTCCCACTCCCAGTGGGTCCCAGGCAGCACAGCCTGTGGTGAAGGATAATGGGCACTGCAGTACCTAGAAAGCATAATACCTCGAGGACTGGCTTTTCCCTCGTCTAAGGATGAGAACAACAGTAAAACAGCCACAGGACCCTCCCCTTCGGCATTCATTTGGGGCCGGAAACTGTTCCTTGGTTCTGCCTCACGTCCCTTTCCTAAAAACTACTCCACTACCCTCCCACTAACAAAAAATCTTAGCCTCCCTCCTTCCCTCTAAACAGTATTTCATCCCATTCGGACACAAGAGCCACCAGCACCTCCTGACTCATCCGGGGACCCTTTTTTGGCCAAAGAGATGAACAAGGACCACCTGGAGTTGTTCACACGCGCACACCCCCGCTCCTTATTCCGCAGGAAAAATACCCTCCGTGCGTGTTTCTGTTCTCATCCAGGGAAAAGCTTTCTTCTCCTGGTTCAAAATGTTGGCACTTGAGAACACAGGAAGCCCGGGTTCCTCCACGGAAGGTCCAGGATCTTGCAAAAGTGGCCCAGGGAGACCATCTCCTGAACTGTGGCCCTGGGAAAGGGGGTGCTGGCTGGTCCCCCAAATAAGGATCCGTGCAGGAGAGCGGTTGCCGGTGGTGGTGGTGGTGGTGGTGGAGAGGGCTTACTGAGGCCTGCAGAGGTCCTGCCACTGTTCCAGGGAATCCAGTTCCCGGCTGTAATTGGAGTTCCAGTCCCTCTCAAAGACATCCTGGAGCTGGTCCCGAAGGGTGGGCTCGTCCCCAGCCTCCACGTGGCTCTGATTCACGACCAGGGCGGACCCGGCTGTGTGGACAAAGTAGTCCCCAGACCAGTTGGATGTTCCTGAAGGAAAAACAAAATGGAAAGTTCCAGAGGCCGAGCCATCCCCTGCAGTTCTCACTGGGCACCCACTAGCCCCTATCCATAAGGGGTGCCCGGTTTCTGACCCTTCTCTAGAGAAACCCAGGAAGCTGTGAGATCCTTGGCCCCTTTAGGGTTGATCCTGACCGGCTGCAATGGCTCGCTCTGGGTTTCGGCCAGGATCTCGCCCTACCTGAGGATCCCTCGTGGTCACTTATCTTAGTCCCTTACCATGCCTGCACCCTGTTAAGCTTCCCAGGCCAGAGAAGGCTGGGTACATTTCAGGATGGTACGGTATGTGAATGCCAAATCCGAGCCACATTTTGGAAGGAGCTGGGGCAACAGCGATTGTTGATATCCTGCCCACGCCAGCCTTCCTGAGTGACCCTCTTGGCAGACGGGAAGCTTTGCCTCCAATTCCGGCCACCCTGTCCCTTCCACGCCTCACACCTTCCTCTGCCATCCCCAGCGCTGCTCCTCTAATGCTGTCACAGCGTGAGAGAAGCCTCTCTTAGAGCCGTTTGCTCTTGCCCAGCATTTCGGGTGGCTGATGGCTTCAGACGTCGAGCCGTCCTCCACGCAAATCCTCTCCTCTCCCAGAGGACTCACCGATATATGCCACCTTGTCCGTTACCATGAATTTGCTGTGGTTGACTCTGGCATACGGGATCCTGGCCTGGGTCTCATTCACTGGGACGACAAACAGCCTCTGGCAGTGGAGGAACGAAGGGAGAGGAATCAAAGGGGAAAAGGTTGAAGGTGGCAAAACTGTTCAGCTCATAAAGGCCAGAGGTTGGGAGTTCGATTCCCCCTCTGTGCCTCCTGGGCAAGGGCTGGACTGGATGACCCCACAGGGTCCCTTCCAGGCTCTGCTAAGATAAACAGGAATGATAATAATAACCGTCGAGTGTGTTCTGACTCATGGAAATTCTTTTTCAGGGTATGCTAAGTAGAGAATACACAGAAGTGGTTGACCATTCCCTTTGAAGAGGGTGGACTACAGCTCCCATTATCCCCAGGGGAGGAAGGCTGGCTAGATGGATTTGAAAGCCTTGTGCCAATGGTGCTCTTAGGCCATAGCCGTGCACCCTGTCTCGGTTGGTTGGGTAAGTGAGTTAGCCGCCGGCCCTCTTCCCACAGTCTTCCCCAGAGCGTGGCGTTCCCAAAGGTGGGTGCCCCACCCGCCCTTCCCACCCCGTCCACCTCGAGCCCCAGAAGCCCCCTCACCACTTCCACGCTGATGTGGGTCTGGTCATCCCTCACGGCCACCAGGGATTTCAAGAAGGGAAACATCTCAGCCTTGGAGTGTTTCCAGCAGCCGATGAGCAGGCGGACCCGCACTCTCCTCTCGTAGGCCACTTTGCGCAGGTGGTCATCAATCACCGGCCAGAACCTGAATGGACCGAGCGAGGAGAGCCAGCTCACGCCTTGCGTTGTCGCCTCGGACAAGGTGTGGGTCCCCCACACCCCATCTACCTAGTCTTGCCCTTGGCAATGCCCCTGAATGAAGGTCTTTATTTGTATTCCAGCCATTGCACGGTTTAAAAATATGGGCAGATATGAAATATAGGTAACCTTAAAAACAAGTTGAAATGTTAACATCAATTATTTTGGGGGGAAGTCTTTAAAGACAGAAAAATTGTTGAATTGTAGGCTCATTCTAACAAAGAAGGTCTCCGTCATCCAGCTGTACTCCTGTTCTGTTCACTCTGAAAAACCTCCCTGGGCAGTAGCAGGCTATCTGATCAACAGACGCTAGAGACAAACCAACCTCTTTGCAGCCACCTTGGGAGATTCCTAGAGGAGGTATCTTCCCCCCTCCCCAGCGGAAAACACAATGCTAGATTTTGGCTGTTTGTGTTTTGCTGGAGAAAAGCATCTGCTGATGGGACAGGATGTCAGAATTTGGGATGCACCGCACACAAAGAGATGAGAGGTTGGGGTTCCCCCCCAGCAGTGCTCCCCCAGCTCCCCCCTTTCTTCCAGCAGCCACGCGTTACCTCTTGGGGTGCGAGAACTCCATGGTGGGTAGGTAGCTCATCACGGCGATGTAGACAAAGTCTTGGGCCCCCTCAATGACGCTCAGCAGGGCCTGGAGGTCCTCGGTCCGGCCGCTGGCACACAGCGCAGGGGGAGCGCTCTGGAGGAAGGGCGGTGGAAAGAAAACCAAAAATAGGAATTATTTGGGAATTCAGTTCCACCCCACACCCATGGATTAAATCTGAGGATGTGGGATTCAAGGGTAAGGTTGGGGCTCCAGGGAGAGAAGGACCGCTGGTTGAAAGTTCCTGGAGCTGCTACTTCTGTTCCCGCAATCCAGACCACACAACGCCGGAGAAGAGTTGATAGAGGCACAGGGCAATGCACCCACCTCTCCCCCTCCCCCAAAAAAACATGTTTTAAAAGATATCCATATTAAGGACTCCTTAAATAGTGTTTTTTTGGGGGGGGTGCAAGGGGCAGCATTCAAATGAACCGCTGCACCTCACAGCTTCTAAGCATACCATTCTCCGGTTCAGACTCACTTGCCATTTGTGCCCCTTCCTGCTTCTGTCCAAGATGGCAACTATCCTAAGTCAAATCCAGTTGTAAATTACCTATCCTGGATCAAACCTAGTTATTTCCTATCTTGGGTCAAAGCTAGTTATCTCCAAGCTTTAAAAGGAATGCTTTGGGAAAGCAATAAATGCCATCCCCCACCCCCACCCCCGGTGACGGTGCTTGGCCTCGTCACTATCCACACAGAGAGAGAGAGAGAGAGAGAGAGAGAGAGAGAGCATGGGCTGATTTGTCCCAGGATATGTGCCCGACTGGCACCCCGCGTGCGCCGACTCACCGAAAAGTACACCCCGGCCTCCGTGCTGTTCAAGGTGACCTCCAGGGGCGTCTCCTTGTTATAGGTGGTGGAATACTCGGCCGGCCAGGGCGATGGGATGGTGGCGTTGGGCAGCCCCAGAGTCCAGTAGATCTCAAACATCTTGGCCAGGTCGTGGGCGAGGCAGCTGCAATTGTACACAACCACCCCGAGCTCCTTCACCTGCGCCCCCCCCCAGAAAGAAGAGACATATGTAGTGTGAAAACAGCTTCCTGCTGGGCCTGGGCTGAGCAGCGGTGGCCCTTAGGAGGCAGCTGGATGCCAGCTCCCATCATCCTTCACCACCGTTGAGTCGGGAAGGCCTGACCCACTTGAGAGGCCCCCAGTTGCCAACCCCTCGTTCTAGGCAGAACGGGGTCAAGCCATTTGGCCTCCGTCGTGCTTCCGCTAAAGAAGCCTTGGGGTCTCCTGTCCCCTCTCAGCATCCCATTCCTGAGTCCCCCCACCCCGAAAAACTCAGTGGGGTGGATTCAGGCCCAGAGTGGCCTTTTGCCTCACCTGTGTGAGGGCCCGCCAGTCCATGTTGGCACTGCCCAGGTAAAGATGCGTCTGGTCCACAATCCAGAACTTCGTGTGCAGGATGCCTCCGGTCAGCCGGGGCAGGTTGACTTTACGGATCTGTGCCCCTGGAACGATTGGGAAACGTATCGTGTCCATTCCGATCACAACTGGCTAGAGCATGGGAGGTAGTCCCTTTCTTTTCCCTGTGCTTTCTTTTTGCAACATATCAACCTCAATCACCTCGGGTCATCTTTTTTTCCTGTACCTTTTCGAGCTCCACCCTATCCATCCCCTTTCTATCAAGGGGATCCATTCTGTTTTGCCTCCTGCGTTCATGGCTCTCGGGCCCTAAGATCCCTGCCCACGACTCACCGCTCTCCTCAAGATCCTGGAGGTCACTGCTGCTCATCCGCGAGGAAGGGGGATTGACCGCAATTCGCAGCGCAATCCCACGACTGGTCACCTTCAGCAGCTCCGCCAGGATTTCTTCCCCCTGAGCACAAAGCAAACGCCCCATCAGACCCGTTCCGGCCTCTCCTCACAGGACCTCCCCAGAAAGCTTCCTTCCTCAGGTGTACATTTCCTTCAGCCTCTTCTCAGCTCAACTGACTTATAAGAGATATTTAGAGTTTGGGGAAAATATTTTGCATTTCAGAATAGGTAAGTGTAGCCATGTGGTCCACGGGGAGAAACAGAAGTCTAAGTAATGTCTTTCTTGGAGGTTAGAAAGAAAGAAAGCTTCCGAATCGTTCGGGACTCTTCCTCAAGTGTAAGTGTTATAAAATTTGGAGGACTGCTGAAAGCACCCAGAAATAGTCCAGACATGGTATTTCTGTATGACTGAATTTCTGAGAATCATGCATTGTGCACAAACACGAAACAGGTTTGGTTTGGAACTTTGTGAAAGGCTAAGCTGCTAATGTCACCCAGACCTTTGGGTTGCACCCTGGGTCAGAGATATTGGCTAGTATTTGGGGTGGGGGGGTAGCATTTGTTTGCTTGGTAGCAGGGCAAAGAACCAGCTCCCAGCCAAAACAAATCAAGAAACACATAGTAACATCCACTGTTATTACATCCCTATTCCATTGTTTAGAATTATATTAAAACTGGGTGTACTTTTGTCAACAGGACCTGCTTCAACCGCTAACAATGTTGCTAATATAGTAAAAGAGGAAATGTTTATATGCATACATACTATTAAATGGTTACACTTACAATGAACTGGCTTACATTAATTCAAGTCACATCAAGAATATGTCAGGCAAAATGCAGAAAGAGGCATGACAGAGGAAAAACAAAGGTAGCTTTCAGATAAGACACCTACCAGGAAGTCTGCTTATGTCCTTAGCCACCCACCACCCCTGTGCAGCTCCCTTCAGAGGGGCAGGCATCCCTCTTTCCAAAGGGGCCACAGCCCCCAAATAAAAGCACACTTTGTTGTTTAGTCATTAAGTCGTGTCCGACTCTTCGTGACCCCACGGACCAGAGCATGCCAAGCCCTCCTGTCTTCTACTGCCTCCCGGAGTTGGGTCAAAGTAATGTTGGTTGCTTCGATGACCCTGTTCAGCCATCTCGTCCTCTGTCGTCCCCTTCTCCTCCTGCCTTCACGCTTTCCCAACATCAGGGTGTTTTTCAGGGAGTCTTCTCTTCTCATGAGATGGCCAAAGTACTGGAGCCTCAGCTTCAGGATCTGTCCTTCCAGGGAGCACTCAGGGGTGATTTCCTTTAGAATGGATAGGTTTGTTCGCCTTGCAGTCCAGGGGACTCTCAAGAGTCTCCTCCAGCACCACAATTCAAAAGCATCAATTCTTCAGGGGTCAGCCTTCTTTATGGTCCAGCTCTCACTTCCATCGCTACTGGAAAAACCATAGCTTTGATGATGCGGACCTTTGTCGGCAAGGTGAAGTCTCTGCTTTTTAAGATGCTGTCTAGGTTAAAAACACACTACGGGGAGCCTTTTGCATGCAGACGACAAGCGTTATATTGCTGTTGAGCTCCATCCAAGCTTCTGCTGCTCAAAACCCACCCTGACCAAAACCCAAACGAACGGATGTTCCACTTTCTATCAAAGAGGCCTTTGATGGCACCAGAGGCTGAATGGGATTCCCCAAAGCCAGGCAATTAAATGCTTGTTTGTCTGTGCATGTGTGTGTTCGGGTGGAGGCGCTCAGCCCATAAGAGAAAATCGGAGAAATATCCGTCTTGGTTGAGCCAGACACATTGGGGAACGATACCAAGTTGTTGCCAGTTCGCCAGCACGAAAAAGCCCAGACGTTTCAGCTTCACTGCCCAGCCTAAAATGGCACGCTGGTAGCCCCTGATTAGATCATCAAGTCCAGAGTCCGAAATTAGCCAGTTACCCCCCCACCCCCCGCAGGAGACTTGAATCTAGGGATTCATGTTGCATCCCATACACCTGCTTCACACACACCCCCGCCCACGTCCCCCAGCCTCAAGCAGCGCTCTGCCCCCTCACCGGGCCGGCTGAAGGCTCCTGGGTGTGGGTGTCCTCGTTGCTCAAGGTCCAGTAGAAAGAGGCGATGTCCACGCTGTTTTTAGCCTCCCCCAGCAGCGTTGCCCAGGCGGCGAAAGTGGATGGGAGGAAAGTGCTGTTCTCCTCAAAGCTCAGCCCTTCTGGAATGCTCTCCACCAACGTGCTTCTGAAAAGAGGGGATGGGAAAAAAAGGTGCGTTTGGAGGGCGAACTGGGGAACAGGGGAGAATGGGCCAGATTTTTGTGAGCACTCTCCCAAAAAGTCGTGGAGTTTGCCTGCTCTTGTCATCCCACTCAGTCTCCTCAGTGGCAGTTTTACCCCCTAGTCAAGGGGTAAGACACTGCTAATGCCATGCCCCAAACAGCCACCTCTCAGGTAGGGCAAAGGAAAGCCCTGTTTGGATTTTGGGGGGGGGCATTCTTTGAGGGCAGGCAGAAGAACCTGCACAGACCCAAATGTTGGGAATCTGGGTGGGCCTTTGGTGGGAGGTCGGGAAAGCAACGTGGTAGGAGCTGATGTGACCCCAAAGTTCCACCTGCGTTGGGAGATAACTCAGGTGGAATCCCCATTCCTGTTCCATCAGGTTCCACTCAGCCCCGAATGGGACAGAACGAACTGGCCTCTTATGCCTTTCTTCCTCACCTTTCTTTCTAGCAGGGGCTGATAGCTTTCTCCCTTTACTATGCATTCCTACTGATTAAACCATGGCCATAGAATCCCAGAAAAGGAGGACTGGAAGGGCCCTCTAAGGCCATTCAGTCCAACCTCCTGCCCCAGGCAGGAATCCAAGTCAAAAGCAAATGCTGGACTTTTTACATTTCCCTTGCATTTCATACCCCTACCCTTCCCTTCTTTCTATATATACCCTCTGTGCCTCTGAAGAAGTGGCCACAGACCATAAACTAAAAGAAAAGCGTCTGGCCTTTAAGATGCTGCTGATTTTCCTGCCACAGGCTAATACAGTTCCCTGTTTGGGGGCGGGGAGGTGGGAAATATCTTAAGACACCTTCACTCGGATCTAAATCTCACAGAGGGAAAAGTGCAATTTAATTGTGATAAAGGAGGCTACAGCCCCATGGAAGGAGGAGCTCCAGAGTTGTGCTCCTGTTTTATGCAGAGCCAATAGTACCTTGGGATAGTCCACACACACCCCCAAGCCCCCATCAGGCTCCAGAGGGCAGGAGCTGCAAAGCTCAGAAGCTGTGGGGGGGGGAGAGGAGGGGGGGAGAACACACAGCTTTCCTCACCTGCATGGGTCACTGCACACGTTCTCCCGTAAGCTCACAGGCGCCTTCTCCCCTGCAGAGGCTGGACCGGGAAAGGGAAGGAAGAGCAGGCGGACCCCCAGGGCTGCCAACAGCATGGTGGACAGGATGGCCGTCACCAAAAGGCAGCGGGAATTCTGCAGGAGGGAAGAGCAAGGTGGAGGAGAGCCGTCTCTTTGCCGTCTCGGGCTTCTGTGCACAACTCGCTGGCATGACTCGCGTGCCCCAAATACTAGACTCCACAGCAATAAGAAGGTCCTTCCGAGCCGCACGGGTAACCCCACCCTCCTCCTCCCCTCTTACTCATAGTGCGCGTGGAGGAGTCCCCTGCCCAGCCCTGACTAGGGTTTAAAGACTTCCCGTTTGTATAATTGAGAACCCAAACCACATCAGCAGCTGAGGATGGGAGAAAACTGTTTCAAAATCCTTGGCTATTCAGGATGGCAAGAGTCAGGAAGGGTGAGAAACCTCCTCGGGAATATTTACCATTGTTTCCCTATAAAACCCCAAAACAGATCCTTTGTTCTGGACTTCCTTCTTCCTTCACACCTGTGGGCAGGTGTTTGTATAATTGAGAACCCAAACCACATCAGCAGCTGAGGATGGGAGAAAACTGTTTCAAAATCCTTGGCTATTCAGGATGGCAAGAGTCAGGAAGGGTGAGAAACCTCCTCGGGAATATTTACCATTGTTTCCCTATAAAACCCCAAAACAGATCCTTTGTTCTGGACTTCCTTCTTCCTTCACACCTGTAGGCAGGTGTGGTGGTGGTGGTGGTGGCAGCTCACCCAGGCCTGCCAGGAAGGGCACCTGGTTCAGCAATGTAGCAGAACTGGCTTAACGGCCCCAGCCTGATGCTTTCTCCGACTGGGGAGGCTGAAGGAAGACTTGGATCAGAGCTGGTCGTCGCCCAGAGGATAGAGGACCAAGTTCTTCTTTGAGAACAGGGAGGCGTCATTACAAATACAATTTCAGTATTTCTAGTGTTGGAGATCAGAAAAATAAGGGGGTGGGGGGGGGAGTCTTCTGTAATGGACAACTCTTTTTATTAAATTCCAGAAATGCTGTCTTGATCATCTTGGGGTTCTGGCAGGTAAATGTGGGTCAGAAGTAAATTTTGATGAGAAAAAACAAACAAACGTTAATTTAGGTTCTAGTTCCCAAGTAAAGGGAAGTAACAGTTTCACTTTGATCCCACAGGGGACAGACCCCCACTGTGCCGCCCTCTTCAGTTTTCTAGAATGCCCTTTTCCAAAGGGTGTAAGCAAATAGGAAGCAAAATCCCTGAAAAGTAGCAGCTGAGGCAACTCCACTTGTCAGCCTCACGAGGGCCAACCCCGGAGGGCAGAAACACATGGAAGGGAACTCACCTTAGGCCAGGCCAGGCTGGCCGGCCCAGTGGGTGCAGGGTCTTCGGGGCTCTGCAGGGTCTTCAGCTGTAAGGAAAGAGCAGAGACATGAAAGAACCTGGAGCTCCCGTCATCAGAGGCCTCCCTTTGCGACACATGCGACAATGGGGTTTGGAAATCTACCACACAATCTCTTTCAGAACGGCTGGCCACCGTTTGCTTCCCGAAGCCAAACAGTCAAAAGGGCCAAAATTCACCTAGAAAGCTTTCCTGCTCAAGCGATGCAGAAAGAGGGGCGGGCAACAGGATCAGCAGCTCCCCCCCTCCTCTCTAGGAGGACTTGTATGTAAGAGAATCCCCTTATTGTTGGCTTGCTAAGGATCACCCTCATTTTCTGCCCGGGGCATCTTGCTGTCTCCAGCCACATCCCCTTCCCTAGGTAGAATCTCTGCTCCAGGAGCACATCGGCAAAGCAGACCCTAAAGAGGTCCCCTCTGGGCCACCGAGAATTTACCTGCTGGTAACTGACGTGGGGCTTCATTTCCTTTGGCGGCAGTGACCCAGCGAGCCAGAAGAACCTGTGAAGGACATAAAGAGGAAGGGGGTCACTCCAGGGCTCCAAAAGTAGGCAATCTCCCCAGGCTGCTGGTGGACCGAGCACACAGCCAAAGGAGAAACCCCAAAGGTCATCACGGTCCGGCGGCCGGCACTTCTGCCCCTGGCATAAGACCCAGAGCCACAGCTGGGCAACTCATGAGCACTTTCTGATCATCCAGACAGCCCAAGAAGGGAGGCACAGGAAATAGGCTTCCCTTGGGCAGACCCGGGAAGTCACCGGTGCGCCGGCATTGCCGACGAAAACGGCACGGCACAAGCTGGTGATCCCACCGGCATGTCCGTGGGAAGCCCTACGGAGACAGGAGCGGTTTGCAAACAGGATGAAACCCCCGATCTGTAAGTCTTTTGCACCGATATTTAAATTTAAGCCATGACTTATTCTTTTCTTGGAAGACTCCTCCCGCCATCCTAGTCCGCAGAGACAGCTGGAATGTCGGCGGGAGAGGCGGGACCTGGACGGTGAGTTTTCATAAAGCCCAGTCGGAATAAGGAAAGGGCGGAGCACGTGGAAGCAGAAGTTTGAAAACTGGAGGGCAAGTGGGATCACAAGCCACACAACAGGGATCGGGCCGCTAGCTCGCAGGACGCAACACAACAGCGGCTGGTGCCACTGAGTCTGACTGGGGGTAAATCTGAGGCCCCCCCAAGGAACATTTGCTGCTTGAGAGTCGCTGCTATTATGGGCTGGCGATTTCATGGCAGCAGAAAACCAAGGGGCCATGCTGGGCCTCTGCAGGAAGAAGCCAGGCACAGGAAGAGGAAGGAAAGGAAACCCCCCCCCACACACACACACACAGGTTTCATGGGTCCATGAGGATGAGGGTGACGTTTTTTGTGTAGGAAATCTGTTTCCAGACCAGAAGAGGCTGGGCTGCTCCGTTTCCCCACAGACGGGGAGAGGAACAACCCCAGAGAGAGCAGAGCAGAGGACTGCAGGGTTATTTCCACTTCTGTGTTGACAAGGAGAAAAAAAAAATAATCCCCGACAGACACAAAATGCTAAGCCAGCAGTTGGTCTGAAATGTCCTCCCTTTCCAGGTCATGCGTGTTGACTTAAGGCTGCCGGTCCTATGACTCCTTCCCTCTCCCGCGCCTGGAAGTCCTCCGTTTATGAAAGACAACAGGTTGTCACGACTCGGCTCTGCGGTCTTTTGCGCGGAGTCCCTGCCCATCCAAGCAGGGAGAGCAAACGTCCCACGAAAGCTCGTGTCAAAATACGGCCATTTGGTCTCCAAACAGCCACAAGACGTTGGGAGTTTTTTTGTTTTGTTTCCTTTGCTTTTGTGTTGTGTTTCTTGTTCGAAATGCTTGCCCAGGCTAACCCAGATCTGCCTTCTTTTGCACTGCCAAGCAGAAGGGTGAAAAAAAGAGGGGCAGGATACAACACCAAAAGCGTGCCAGGTTTTGTTTTTGTTTTTTCAGGGGTGGTGGCGGTTTCAGACTTTTCATTTCCTTTTGGGATTGTTTGCCTCTTGCTGGAGTTCCACTTTCTGCCTTTCTGCCGGATCCTCCCAAAATAGTTCTTTAATGACTCAGCTTTTGGGGAGGGGAGTAGCTAAAGTTAGTCTGTGGCAACAGCCCCCCAGCAAGGAGTCTGGTGAGAACACGGAGAGGAAAAACACTGATTTGCCTTCATGGACCGTGGACCACTTCCACAGCTGCCTCAGAAGCGAAGGTCTCTTGGCTTCACTCTACTTTCTGCCGGATCCTCCCAAAATAGTTCTTTAATGACTCAGCTTTTGGGGAGGGGAGTAGCTAAAGTTAGTCTGTGGCAACAGCCCCCCAGCAAGGAGTCTGGTGAGAACACGGAGAGGAAAAACACTGATTTGCCTTCATGGACCGTGGACCACTTCCACAGCTGCCTCAGAAGCGAAGGTCTCTTGGCTTCACTCTATTTCACATATCCACAGCTGCCTCAGAAGCGAAGGTCTCTAGGCTTCACTGCATTTCACACCAAATAACATTTGCCCACCGTTAGGGTGTCACGGGTCTCCTCTTCATCTTTTATTACGGAAGACTCACAAGGCGCTTCGGGGAAGCCGAGGGTTTTCCACAGCATCACAGCCGCTTCAGCTAAATACTTCCGACTCAGACGGGCCACTAAGCCCCTCCTTGAATGAGCGGAGGAACAAACAGGGCAAATGTTGGCAACATCTTGGCTTTGCCCAGAATAAATGAAGGAAGGAGCACCTCAGAAGACGGCACCTCAGAGTTTGTGCAGAGTGCAGATCCCTGGCCTTGCAAGTTTCCCTCGCTCAGCACATTCCTGGGCCTTTTGTGACAAAATATTGGTATTTTAAGCCTAGACCAGGTAACTGATCCTCCTTCTTTCAAGCCAGAATCTTATCAGTTTATGCTTAAGAGAAAGTGCATGAAAATGGTTTGCCCAAGTCTAGGAACCCAGCCAGTGCCTTATGGACAACTGGCAGTTTGCTGCCAAAACTCACACAATTTGCTTTAGACAAGCACAAGAAAGCTGTAGGATTCTGGCCACCTGTTATGTTTGAACACAATACTGTAACTGGAAAGTTCCTGTGGCATTCTGGTGTTTAATGGATGTTCTGTTGTGTCCTTTCAAAGTGGAACTGACTTAGAACAACCCTAACAGGTCTTTTTTTCAAGGTAAGCGTGATATTTAAGGAGTGGTTTTACCAGTTCTGCTCCTCCAATGAGTTTTCATGGCCGTATTCAAGCTTAGGCATCTACATACTGGGTTGAGCTGGTCCTGCTGTACAGGAGTATACTTCAATCAAACCAGCAAATTGGATAGAGAAAGTCCCTCTCTGGGTCTCCCTTTACGGGCAGTTTGCAAGCTGGTATTTCTGTAACACTCCTCTAAAAGCACAATA